GCTGACGTGTTATTAATTTAATCTATAGCCATGGACATCAAAGTATTGAAAGAAAAGTACAGCAAGTTTATCCTTGACCTTGAAATTTGTAGACAAATAAATAATCAACCTTGGATTCAGGAGAAACAATGCAGATTCCGTCCAGGTCATGAAACAATGGACCAACTGTTTACTTTGCAAGGTTACTGGAGGGATCCTGAAAGGTTGCCCACCCAGTCTACATGTGTTTTGTGGACTTGAAGAAGGCCTACGACCAGGTCCCTCATGGGATCTTGTGGAGGGTAGTTCGGGAGTATGGGGCACCGGGGCTGTTGGTGTGAGCCATCCTGTCCCTGTTTAACCGGAGTGAGAGTTGTGTCCGTATATTCGGTCAAACTCATTCCCAGTTTGTGTCGGCTTTCGTCAGAGTTGCTGGTAATGTGGTTTTGTTGGCTTCATCAGCTGGTTGGTTTGCAGCCAAGTGTGAAATGGTGGGGATGAGAGTTGGCACGTCCAAGTCTGAAGCCTTGGTGCTCTGCCGGAAAACAGTGGACTGCTCCCTCTGGGTTGGGAGTGAGTTGCAGCCCTAAGTGAAAGAGTTTAAGTATCTCTGGGGTTTTTTTTATGAGTGAGGGTAAAATGGAGTGTGAGGTTGACAGGTGGATAGGGGCAGCATCAGCAGTAATGTGGACGTTGTACCAGACCATTGGGGTGAAGAAGGAGCTGAGCCGAAAGACAAGGCTCTCAATTTACCAGTCAATCTAAGCTCTAACCCTCATCTATGGTCATGAGCTGTGGCTAGTGATTGAAAGAATAAGATTGTGAATGCAGCAATCAAAATGTGTTTCCTTCATAGGGTGGCCAGACTTTCCATTACAGATAGGGTGTGGAGTTCAGACACCTGGGATGTACTTCGAGTAGAACCGCTGCTCCTTCACATTGAAAGGAGCCAGTTGATGTGGTTTGGGCATCTTACTGGGATGCCTCCAGGGTGCCTCCCATTGGAGGTCTTCCGGGCGCCTCCAACTGGTAGGAGACCCGAGAGTACACCCAGAACACACAGGAGAAATTATATATTTCATCTGGCCCTGGGAACACCTTGGAATACCGTCAGAGGAGAAACGTTGCTGGGCGCCTCCCATTTGAGGTCTTCTGGGCACCTCCAACTGGTAGGAGACCCTAGAGTACACCCAGAACACACAGGCGAAATTATATATTTCATCTGTCCCTGGGAACACCTTGGAATACTGTCAGAGGAGAAGCATTGCTGAGTAGGACATCTGGACTACCTTACTGAACTTCTGCCACTGCGGCCTGATCCCAGATAAGAGGATGATAATGAATGGCTGCATGGATAAATAAATAAACCAACAAACAAACTTATGGTCCATCTACCAGCTTTCAGTGAGTGACAGTGATGAGGACCAAGATGTGGTTAAAAGGCCTGGAAAAAGCCTGTAAGTGTATCATAATGTATGACCATACACATATTGTTTTGGCTTCAAATAATTTTGACCATCATTCAAAAATACCTGAGAAATATACCTACCACAATGTGAAAGCATAGAACAGGATGGCTCTTAACCTTAGATGATAAGACAAAGTCATCAACACGACTTTAAGAATTTAACAAAAATAACTGAGCATGTTCATAACTAACACCTACACAGGGGACATGTGGTGTTTCCCCTGTTTGACAGGTTTAGATCTCTGCTGACTAAGAACTGAACCCTGTTGAGTTATCATAGCAACCATGCACATAACAAGCTCAGCTATGGAGAAATTAGTTTGGCATGGATTGCCCTCACCTGCCATTGTCTTGTATCACACTTTTCTTTTGTTGAGGTTTTTGGTTCTGAACCAGTCTTGGCTGATGGATTCGAGCCACAGTTTACCCTATTTATCAGTGCTGACTACACCAACCCAGGGAGAGTTCCAGTGTACGCCGACTGGATCCACATGTGGCTTCTCTTTGACAGCTAACAGAAAACACTTGCTATGATGTCAGTGATTGTGATGTTTTCAAAAGTGCAATGTGCTGTAAAGGTTTAGCCACTTTTGCACGCCTCACAATTTTAATGGTGTAAATCATTTTCAGATACTACTTTCAGAAAAATTTGGATCCTTGTTTTTAATAAGTCCATACAGAGCAAAACATTCTGCCTTTTTTGTCATCCATGAACACATCAGGCAACTGTACCTCTGGTATCTTTAACCTCTTAACTTGGTAACACTCCGATGAATGAAAAAACTCCAAACTTTTAGTCTTGCAATGTGTAATCCTTGAGAAATATAACCACCATTATTCATTCTGTGATTCTGTGTAGAACATGTCTTTACTGGTAGTTTTTTAAAAGATTAATTAATTATCAAAATAGTTGCTGATTACATTTTTCTTAATTTATTACAAATTTATGTATATGATTTGCTCTGATTGATTAAAAAAAAAAACCTTAGCTCTCAAGGAACATTCAACTTTTTGAATCCCATGTATGTCTTCATATCATCATATAAAGTGAGATGATTATCAGAAAGAGCAACATACTGTTTAAAATGTAAAAGGAAAGTAAAGCTTTGCATTAAATTCAGGATGCAAGGATTAGTGATGGGGAAAAACCTGAAATGGACACTAAACTGCAATAAATGTCTAAATAATGAAGATGTACTTGGTGAGCCATGTCTATTTATACAGTAGTAAAAGTTAACAGATTTTTTTTTCTGAAATTTTCGGAGTCACAAAACTAACATTCCAGTAGAAGCCCTGACAAAGACAGGAACTGCCTCCTCCTCCTCTAGCCCTGCTGCTTCCAAGAGCAATCAATAAACAGCCATTGGGCTGTCTGCCATTGACAGACTTCTGTCTAATTCCGCTGCCAGTGAAAGCTAGATGCTAATGGCGCTTTTTGAAATCTGTGCAGCTCTATAGAAAATCTATCAATGCCTCATTGGTCTGCTGCATGCTCACATTTCTTTTATCCCATGCACAGCCTGGTGTAGAGTATAAGCAATACAAATACCTTTGTAGATAAGAGGCTATGTTGATGACAGGGTCAGTACTGGCCAGTAGGTTTGTCATTAGGAAAGTGGAGGGAGTGTAACTGACTGTTTTCATTTAGAACTACTAATAATAATAATTTTGTCATTTTTCAAGTAAATATTTACAGATTCACTTCTTAAATATCAGGATTTTACACCTTTTATTGTCATATGACCTGAACATTTTTGGATTTTGGACTGGAAGTTGAATAAAACAAGCTATTGAATTAGATTATCTTGGGCTTTTGGGACATTTTAATGGATCTTTTTACACTATTTTCTAACATTTTATACACAAAACAATTAAGTAATTTAGCAGATTAATTATTAATAAAATGAGTAATTACTGTACCTGTGATTAATCTGTTGTTTTCTGGATTAATCAGTTCATCATATTCTGTTAAAATGTCAGAAAATAAAATGCCCATCACACATTCTCAGAGCCCCAGGTCTTACACTTCTCTGTTCTGATCTACAGTCCAGAGCCCAGAGACATTTAACTTAGGATATAAATGACAGAAATAAAAAAATAGATTAGCAAAGTAGTTGCAGATTTATTTTCTGTTAATTGACCGATTGTTTCAGTTCTATTAGGAAGCACTTTGCTAGTCATGACCGGATCTGTACATGTCAGGGTTTTTTTTCAACAAGGAATATCAGAGTCTGAATGAATGAATGAACCATGTACATTTGCATTCATCTGACTGGTTTTCAGACAACACTACAAATGAGGGAGTGTAAATATGAAAAACACCTACCAAGGATGGACTTATTCTGGAAAGGTTGTACTGTTGTTCATCAGGGCCATGTCTGGATTGGGAAAGTTCATTTAATTCTAAATGGAATTGGCTGGTATTCTTGTATCCTTCAAAGTAGATGAGAATGTCCTACATACCACAGCTCTGGGAAAAAAATGGGAAGCAGCCAGTAGCAGCTATTTTTGGATATGCCCACCCACTTTGGGCAAAAGTGGACGAGTGTTGCCTTTGCCAAGCTTCAGTAACAGCAGTGTGGGTTCCCTGCTCAGAGCTGGCTGTTCATTTTAGGCTGGTGGTTTTTGAAAGCAGTGTGGCAAAACATCAAACCAAAGAATGAATTTGAATTCTGTCATAAGGGTTATTTCAGCTTGGGCTTGATGACTACAAAATATAGCAAACCTTGTATTACAAACTAAGGGCAATGGACTATTATCAAAAGACATTGTCAAGTGGCATCATGAGAACTGTAGGATTCTCCTTGACCCATTCGATCACTGCCTGTGCAGCTTTGATTCTGTTTTTGAATCTGTTTCAACTTTATGGAAATACAATAGTAAACTCTTTCTTTACTGTAACTTAATTCTTTACCAAAGTATTTCATTCCTAATTGTGTTCTCAGGTTGGGAACATTTCCATCAACCTCCATTCTTTGCCTTTAGTTTGGTCTTGAGGGCTAAAATCATTTATTTATTATTGCATAATTTGGTGAAAGCTCTTTTTTTTCTCAGATGAAGTTTTGCGACATTTTGCCGCTTTGTTGGTGAAAAGGAACGAGGGTCTTTCATGTCTTAAAAAAAAATGGAATGCCCCAGCTTGCAGATATCAACAATACTCAAATTTCAAGAAACATTACTTTTTGTAACTTTATACCTAAAATAGTTTTTGTCATTTCTTCATGCCAACCGGTCTTGCTTTTCTTTTTCTATTTTTTTAAACCTTTATTTATTGAGGGTTGGTTCACTGAGAGGCCACACAGTTACACATTACCACCTGGAAGCTGCCCAGTACAACCACAGACTGACCTGTGGCCATTGAGCAGGTCCGCTGGAGCAGTTGGCATTAAGGGCCTTGCTCAAGGGCATGACAGTGCTGTTAATCAAGATGGGGCAAGCGCTGCTTTGTCCCATCCCAGATTGAACCAGCGACCATCCTGTCACAAGCTTGCTTTCTTTTTTGTGAATAAACTCTAATGGATCAGTCTAATGTTCGGTCATTTTATGTGCTCAGATCTGTCCAAGAACCGTCTGTGTGAGCTGCCGGAGGAGCTCTGTCAGTTCATCTCTCTGGAGACACTGAGCCTTTACCACAATGGGATGCGTTCACTGTCCACCAGCCTGGGCAACCTCCAGGCCCTCACCTACCTCAACCTCAGGTAAGTCAGCACCATACACAGGCTAATTCATGAGCCATCCTGGAGCCATGCCTCCAAAGTTTTTACCTCAGCTTGTATAAGACATAACAGAACAGCTAATAAAACTAGTGTAGCTAATGAACTGAGGGGATTTCATATAATACTGATTATTTATTAAAACATGACCTAAGTGGTGATACTTGTTCAATCCAGAAATCCCATCACATTTCAGATTTGTAGTTTTAAAACACGTTCATTTCTCCATTACAAAGATATCATAAATTACATTAATCAAATCCTCATGTGTAACCTTCTTACTTTGTCCATTTTTGTGTTCCTTCTTAAAATTAATTAAATGTTAAACATCATGGTTTTTTTGTTGATTTAGTTTTACAGGTCTTTAAGTTAAAGATCTGACAGGTCCTACCTCCCGACACATCAGAGCTTCGTTAAACTTTCACGTCTTTTCATATCTCTGTTTATGCTTGTTACAACTTGTCCCATTTTTGGAAAGTTTTGGCCAAGATTTTTTGGATCTACTTGGACTTTATTGGACAACATTGCTACAACGACTAATCTAATCTTGTTCCCAACATTTTTTGGATAGCAGGTCATTTTTATATAAACACTGTTGTTATTTTTGGTGGTGGTGGTGTATTAATGTCCCACATAGGAAGATAATGTGATCTTCCATTAGCTGTGTTTCATTTCAGGAATGATCTCCCTGTTTATCCTTCAAACACATAAATAATACCATATAGTCAAAAGAGAGTAGACGACTGAAAGAGTGGGTGTGCATAAAAACAAATCTAGACAGAAACACAATTATGATTTCACTGGGGTTATTTTATAGTAGTATAGTATAGTTCCTCATAGCCCTCTAACAAAGTTTCGTACCGCAGCCTGGTGGAAATGACTAATGTATCACTTTATTTGGAAAGCTGTAAATCACAGTTTACAGGTATTCCACTCCTCTGAATGACAGCTGTTGCTTTAAAACCACATTTGAACATCAGTGTTTGTTCATGCTGGTGATAAAAAGAGGCCATTAAATCCTGTCTAAACCTTCTTACATCACCAGAAGCACACTGCCACTCCACATGATAATTTTACTGTTGCTAGGAGACCAGGAAACCCCCTCCAGGTGGGTCTACATGCACCAGAAGTGTAGGTTCAAAGCCACTGAAATATATAACACAAAACAGACCCATGTTTTCTCCCCATTCTCTTCGAGCTTTTAGGTGAGTATCCCTTTGGAATGACATCACTGTGCATGTGTGTGCCTTGTCTCTCACAGTCGTAATCTTCTGTCAAGTTTACCCCCATCGGTGTTTCAGCTTCCCCTCCTACGAGTGCTTATCGTCAGCAACAACAAGTTGTCATCACTGCCCTCCTCCATATATTCCCTCACACACCTCCGACAGCTGGTACGACACACACAGAGCTCTCTCTCATCAACAGTACCTTTTGGTGCTCTAACCTATTGTCTCTTTGCAACAGTACATTTCAGTGATAGAGGATAAAATCAAACTTGATCTGTGTTACTCTTTCAGTACAGATCTTTATATAGGTCATAGTCAAAAGTCCGTACTGTGTTTTATTGCCTCAGTTTAAAGCCAGAAGTCTCTAGATCCATTTCTAATGTAATAAAACAGGTCAGTGATCTTATCAGTCCTATAAATGTTCAGTTTTAGGTCACTGGTCTTGGTTCACTGTATTATTTTTGTGTCTAACTCTGTCAGGATGTAAGCTGTAATGAGCTGCAGCGTTTGCCTGCAGAGCTCGCTCAGCTGGAGTGTCTGAGGGACTTGAACCTGAGGAGGAACCAGCTCACCACTTTGCCTGAAGGTACAGCACAGATGCACTTGACCACTAACCTCTCAGCTCCTACAGTGTGATGAGCCCAGCTAACTTCAGAAACCAGTGCACCAGTTATGTTGTGGTGCACTTTAAGTGATTTTGCAGATTCAGCGCCAGGACAAATTAAACGGGGGCAACAGGTTTTTAATTGTATATTAATGTATACATTTTTTGTGAATGTGGAGTGGTTATTAAGGTTTTTTGACCCAGTGTCAGCTGGGATTGGCTCCAGCCCCCCTTGTTGGGATAAGTGGTATAGAGAATGAATGGATGGAAGTTGTTTAAGGTGCAACTGACTTTTTTCACTGTGTGCAATTGTGAACTAAACAGGTGTTTAAAAGAGAACAGCTGTCACTATAGAAATGTTACACAAATGTAGCAAACAAGCAAGCAAACGATGCCCGCCACGTTGTCATGGCAATATTTGTTCACAGGTTTGTCACTCACCCATCTCAATGGACAGACAGACTTTCATTCTATTAGGTGTCGGTCCACACTGGCTCTCAGACAGGCTAGGAGATCTGTGTCACCCCTGGACTCTCATTGGTGTTTAAGCTTCAAATCTTCTTTTTAGGCCCCTGCACTAGTGACAGCTGTGGCAGGAGGCATTTTGTTTTGGGGTTGTACATCTGCCTGTTTGACCCATTGTCATGAATGTGATAACCCCAGGAATTTGGCACAAATGTCCATTTGGATTTACAGACAATGTGAACACTGAATTAGACACTAGAGTCATACATGTTAATATAGTGGTAACTTTCATCTTGCAAAAAATAAACAATATTTTTTATTAAGTTTCTTTAAAGTCTTCACTGCATATATTATATGATTCTGGACAGACATGCTTGTGAACTGTAACGTAACTGGTTGGCAAGGTGGTAATTTTAGTTTTCTTTGCCCTCTGTAGCAAACCAGGGAAATAAAAAAAATCATACATACATATAATTCATACATAGATATATTACTGAGCCTGCAAGAAAACTATTTTTGTGATAGGCAAGTGGTGCAGCAAACAACTGGGGCCACCAAATCTGGCACTGGTGTTATCATCTGAGAGACTTGGTGGCACCTGTGCCACCAGTATCAAATAACGCCCTGGAGCCCTGCCATGTGGTTTTGGTAGTAAGAGGTGCAACTGAGTCCAGGAGACAAGAGAATGTTGTGTCTAAGTTACTTCTCCAATTTTCAGCAGAGCTTGTCACAGCAGTTAAAGGATCCAGGGCCACTTGTACTCGCTCACCAAGGGTAGTTACAGTAGATGAACCTCTGTAGTGAATTGTAAATATATTTGCACCAACATTTCAAGGACAGGTGAGCATGGCTTACTGTGAGATTGTGAGAGGAGCAAATGGTCAGAGTCTGTTGTCCTGGACAGAGCAAATCATAAACAATCTAAGATTTGTAGAGTAAGGCAACACCACCACCTTGTTTAGTAAACTGTGCACAATGGGCACTGGTATGCTCAGGTGGGAATGAGGGAAGAATGTCAGGCAGAAACCTTTCTAAAAAACAAAATGAAATTATAATAAAAAACCCCACTAAGCATTCCACATTAATATACAATTATTTAACATAATTAACACAAACATTTGTTTATTGATGTGTAACATTACAGTTTTCAGTGTGATCACAATTTACTTTGGGTCTTGATTTACTGTATTTACTTACTCTTTAAAATATTCCCCTCACTGATTAACTTGTGACCATGGTGGTGCACTGAATTAATAGAATTCCTCATGGTAAGTGTATTTTTCAGCGATGTAGTGCATTTAATCTAATGAGATGCTGATCAAATTATGGAATTTGGTAGATCCAGTAGGCATGTTTTAAAAATAAAATGGTGAGACCTGTTTGTTCTTTCGCTGTTGAAAACAGCTAACTTAACCTAAGTATGTGCAATGATAAAAATGCAACTATTTCTTTACTTAACACATTTACTCAAACAAATTAAATATATGTTTGGAATTCAAGAGGTCAGCTTTCCTAAAATCAAACCATGGCCATGTTTCATTTCTTTAGGTGTAAATATTAGCCAGCTGGCTCATTTTACACCAAGAGATGTTCTTAAACCAGTGAAGTGTTATATATGGATGAGTTTAATAAGTGGATTTAGAAATCCTTTTTAAATTACAACTAGCTTGCTAATTTATGAATGATGTAAATTGTTCTGTACAGATAGTTTTCTTTCACTTTGCCATTCTGACTATTGCTGTTAGACTGTCAATGAAACTTAACACCCCTTGCAGTTTTGACATAATAGCGCAGGAAAGGATAGGTTTGCAAACTTTGAATGTGAAATAGCAGGGAAAGAAGATGAAGTGCTGATTTAACTGTAAGCAGTGAGTGAAGCTGAAGTAAGTGGTCAGCTGAACTGGAAATCCTGAAACAAGTTGCCAGTTTAAGTGTATCAAGTCAAAGAAGTAAAGTGAAGTGTAAGCACTGAAAGCAGTTGGAGTAATCAGCATGAACAATGGAAGCTGAGGAAGCTGAAAGTGAGTTTGAATGTGAACACTGAAAAGTGTCAGTTGTGTAATCTGGTCCCAACCAATATTTGATAAGTCACTTTGTGACATTTATAGTCCACAGGCTCCACTTTTAAACCACAGTCAGTGTATAATTGAGTGAACCATCACTGATTTTAACTAGGAATTCTGTAAAAATGACAGTTGAGTCAAATGCCGACAATTTAAGACCCAAACAAGACAATAAATAAAACTATCCTTCTCTGTACTTCCTGCAGAAATATCTGAGCTCCCTCTTGTCCGGCTCGATGTGTCCTGCAACCGCATTTCCCATGTGCCCTTGTGCTACCGCCATCTCCGGCATCTTCAGAGCATCTTGCTGGACAACAACCCGCTACAAATGCCTCCGGCACAGATCTGCTCCAAGGGAAAATACCACATCTTCAAGTACCTCAACATGGAGGCCTGCAAAAGGAGCCATGAGGAGCTGGAGAGACATCTGAGACCCACTGGATTTAACAGCTGGTGAGAAGTAGGAGGGAGGGAGGATGTTGATAAAGGGAGGAGGCAGATGGAAACAGTGAATGGAGGAGATGACAGGGGAGTAGCAGAAAGTATGAAGGAAGGAGCATGTTCTTACTGGTCAGAATATGATGACACTTCTAGGTTGGTTATAGACAAAGAACGCCATGTTATACATTTAAAAAAACATGGCAATACAAAAGTACTGCTTATTGATGGTGGCAGCTACTATAGCTAGTTAAGACTGTGAAATACATTTTTTTGTCCCCACAATATGAACTTTGAGAACATTTTCTTATACCAAACTAGGAATAATGAGAACATGAGGTGAGAAGATAAATGACAAGAGCTACAGTAAATGGATGATAAGTGAGGCCTGTGAATGGGCATGTTAAGTTAGAAGAAGCTGAGGTTATCATATATTTATAAACTGGAATGGACTCCTTTTAACAACCCAGTGAACTGTTTCCGTGATATTGACAGGGCCAAGACAGAAGTGCTCTGCATCTGATCTGGAGTAGATTAATGACGCCCTATGAAACAGTAGGACTACTGTGTATTTACGTGTATATTTACATTATTGATGTTTCCCCGCAGTTTGTCAGACCACGAGCTGTTCACAGCGCAGTTTGGAGGACTGGACTCTGGCTTCAACAGTGTAGATAGCGGAAGTAAAAGATGGTCTGGGAATGAGGTAAAACTACTGGACACACACACAGACTTGGGCCCATATATGCAAAGCATCCTAAGCCCTAAGAAAATGTTCAGAATTTCCCCTTAAAGTTAAAATTAGATCCTTGTAAAGATAAAACTTATTCACAAAGCATCTTAGCCCCAAAAAAGAGCTCCTAAGGTGAAAACTGTTAACAGTGAGGTCATCAAATGTTACAGATTAGATCATACACTGATTACATTTGTGGTTGATCTCATTAGATATGCACACATCTACCACCCAATGCAAAAATGCCATAACGCCAGAAATGACAGTGATATAAGATAGTTGGCAACTGAAAAATGAAACAGTGGAGCAGTGTCAAATAGATTGTTAATAAGTACTAAAATTACCAGCATGGTTAAATAAACTTAAGCAATTAAATAAAATAACTATCAGAGGAGTAATCGTGCTTCCTTGGGCTGAGCTCCACCTTCAACAGAGCCGGCTCATCGAGATACACAATTGGCCAACAGAACGTCCTTACATTCAGCAGCACTCATTTATTTGTATTTTCATTGCAGCAAGATTTGAAAATGGAGTCTCTCACTTGGTTTTTTGATGAGAGGTTAAAATAATGCCTAAGACCAAGGAGCCCTTGGTCTTAGGCATTATTAAAATGATCTATTAAAGCTCAGTGAGTGTAAATAAAAACTTAACATCAATTCTGAGAGTTATCACACTGCAAGCTGGTAACACCATACTAACACTGTGACTTGTGTGTGACTCCTCAGCGGCTGGCGCCACCCCCACATGGTCACCAAGCCTAGCAACAGAGTCAGCCATACCTCCTCACTCAGTTTTTTTTTTGTTTGTTTTGTTTTCTTTTGTTTGTTTTGCTCAGATTTGCCCTGAGCAGTTTCCTACATCTCCTAAATCATATTTAAGCTAGGACTCTTGCTAGGGGTTTTTTAGGGTAAGTTAAAAGCACCCAGAGTCTGTCTCAGAATGTTTGTGAATACAAACCCTGGTCTTTTATACAGCTGCTGTAAATTGTCCTGCCTGACTACACTAAACAGCATTAGGTTAAACAAACTACAGTATGACAGTATGTAAACGGCACCCACTCTGTTCTTTGTTGAAACTGCATTTTAATTAGAGAGTTTGCTCATCCTGCAAAGCACTACTCTACATAGTGTCCAAACATACCTAGAACAACATATCAGTGCAGACAAAACGCTATAGAACATTACAAACTCTTAGGCCAGCATTAGGAACATCGTTATGGTAACAACACTGAACCTGCAGTCATAGGCGGACTGCGTACCTGCAGTGTTAAGATGAGGTGACTGCGACTCTGATTTGTGTTTGTGTGTCCAGTCAGCAGATGACTTCTCAGAGCGTTCCCTCCGCATGGCTGAGGTCACCAGAGACCAGAGGAACCTAGAGGAAGATGTGTCTCCTCTGCAAGCTAACAAAGGTGAAAGAAGGATGCACCTGCTCTAAGCCAGTGTTTACATGTAATGGAGTGTATTAAACCATGTTCTGGAGGGTCTGTAGTTTCTATTGTTCCAGCTAAAAAGATTTCTGAAATGGTGGATTTGTTGGCATGTTATGTTTTTGCAGTGAATGGAGAGTCTGAGCAGGTGGACTTCATTGACAGCAGTGTGACAGAGGAAGAAGAGGACCTCAGGACGGATCCACCCACACCTCCTCTGGTACCAGTCATTCACACATTGATCAGTGATTATGTCATATCCTGCTCTTCCTCAAGAGCTTGTCATCTACAGTGTGTTGCCTTAAAACAGGGAAGTTCTTGATTGTGTCATTGATTTTCAGGAGCAGAAGGATCGATCCTCGCTGTCCCAAACCCAGGACTCAACAATATGCAGGTAAGCCTTATACTGTACCACAAACTGTACTGTAAAAGACAGCCTTTGGACTGCACTGCTAATATTTTAGTAGAGTACGTTTATAACGCAAACCAGGAATATTGCACAGAATACTGACTGAAAGCACAAAACTGGGATGATGGTTTAAACGCAAGTAGAAGGATGCATCAGATGCAGATGACGTAATACTGCATAGTCAATGGTCTCATATAGCGCTTTTCTAAGCATTGTAGCACGCTCAAAGAACTTTATGTTATTTCCCAGCCATACACACATTCACACAGCGGTGATATCACCAGGAGCAACTAAAGAGTTAGTGTTTTGCTCAAGGACACTTCGACACCTACACTGGAGTAGCCGGGAATCAAACCGCTGACCCTACGGTTGGAGGACAATCCGCTCTACCTCTTAAGCCACAGCACCGCCATAATACAATAATGTTTGATCAAAGCACAAAATGCCAATATTGCTGTTGTGATGGTTTAAAGAGCAACTCCACATTAACATTTGGAAAAGTGGAAAACAGAACTGCACAAACATCTTTGGTTTGAAAGATGTGTATCTGTTGAACCTTTGACCACATCCAGCATCTCAGCGGGATGTGGAAGGCAAGGCGGATCATTAGCACTGGGTGCAGTAACTCTCTAAAGCACAAAACAGGAATGCTGGAAGAGGGTGCTGGTCTTCAGGGCAAGCGGATAAGGATGTCAGAGTTTCTAATGACAGCAGATGGTGTTTGGAGTAAACGGTGAATGAAAACTATTATTTCCAATATGCCAGTCTGCATTAGGGAGCAGGAAGGAGGGAAGCTTAATGAGAAATGTTTTCCATAAGTACTGACATGTGATTGTAGGACTGACCTCTCCTAAGGTCTCATTTGTTTACAGCACTTGTGTCAAGGTGTTTCAGTGAATTTGAAAAGCATTTATACATCAGCTTTGATTCTGTTCAGCCTGTTTCTATGACAGTCTTCTGTTTTAATTCAGCTGTGACTGGAAACAGTCTTCAGTCACTCTGAATGAGAGAGAGAGACAAGGTTTTATCACTTTCTCTCTCATTTCCTTCTTTATTTTACAAGGTCACTTTACAGGGTATTTGAAGAGCTGGGAAAAGTCAATAGACTGCTGTTCCCATCACTTAAAGTATCTCACTACCCCTCAGACTCTGCATGTTGCGCTGTTGGCTTGGCTCTACTGACACATTGACTGGAACATACTTAGAGCACAGTAATAATAGTGGACTTGTGCACAGGTTTGAACAAATGTCTTCACTCTTAATGCCCACAAATCCTATTTTCCTGTAGTGCTGTCAGCAGCAGCAACCTGTTCGTGCTGAAACCTAAAAGGCAGCTTTATTATGCTGCTCTGTTGTTCCGCAACAAAGATAACTACATTATTGAGAGTGAGTGTCCCAGCAGTACTATTGGTTCTATTAGTGTGTGACGCGGGGCCATTGTTCTCAGGCTTTGGTGCAACAGGCAGCATACTTCATTGTTCTCATTCTTTGAGTTTTATTAACTGCACCCAGTCCTCAAACCCTCATTAAACTTTATGGACCATACATGATTTAGATTTGATAACTGGACCAGGGTATGGACTGAGGAGCATTTAGTATGCTGTTGCACGGTTCTGTATCTGGTCTACAAACACTTATCTTGTAGTTTGAACCAACGGATGTTCTAAAACTTGGCTTCCAGCACTTCCTCTGGGAGTTCTAAAAATAGACCTTAAATGAAAAAACACAGTTTCTATAAGACACAAAGCCAACGTCTATAAAAGAACGATTATCCGTGTTGTTAATACCAAACTTCATAATTAAGGCAAAAGTCTGTCACATTCACTTTGACTGAATCACTTTTATGTGATGTGTTTTTACTGTTTGTTATAAAATTTAAATTTGTAGCTTATTTTTTTTATGGTTTCTGGATAACTGGACTGTTTTCACCAAATTTGGTACAAATTATCCCACATACTAGGTCATGTGTATAAATGTCTAAATGGCCAGGAATAGGATGTTACATGTTTAAGCGTGCTAGTGACCAAATTAGGTAAAATACACAACAAAGTCAAGATTCAAGATTTTTATTTGCCATTTATGCATAAACAGACAGTCTAGGCATATAGGAATTCTTGTGCAGGGCTCTCCTGGAGTCAAGTAAGTTTAAAGCCAAAAGAACGAACACCTAGTCTAAATATAAGCTCACCCAAGAATACAAAATAATACAAAATACAAAAAAGAAGAATACCCAAGAATACAAAACAGTTGATAAAACTGTGGATACAGGAATAAGATGGCAGGTAAAATGGGGAGTTTCAAATATTGCACATGGTGTAATTGTATATGGTTTTTTACTTAGTAGAGTAATGAGGGGTTATTGCACAGGTTTTTCACATTTCATATTTGCCATCAGTCTTACTGCAGCAGGGAAAAAGCTGTTGTAAAGTCTTGTTCTGTGTGTGATGATACTGTCCGCCCTGCTGTGGCTGAGGCTGTAGGTGCAGTTTTTGTGTCTGAGCAGAGTGTGAGCTGGGTGGCACAGATCTCTGAGTATGTTCTCTGCCTTTTTACGACAGCGCTGTGTGTACAGTGTGTCCATAGCAGGCAGTTCAGTCCGCTCATCAGTCTTTAATGACCCTTTGAAGAGCCTTCCTCTCTGCCTGTGTGGTGTTACCATACCAGACTGTGTTGCCAGTAGTGAGGATGCTCTCTACCAGTCCTCTAGAAGCCTGAGAGTGAGGGCAACAGTTCAGTCCAGCTTTTCTGAAGCTGCCTGATGAAGTATAGCTCCTGCTGGGCTTTCTTCACTGTGGCAGCTGTGTTCAGTAACCAGCTCAGGTCAGATGTCACCTTCAGGCCCAGGAACTTGTGGCTGTCAGCCCTCTCCACCTCAGTCCCTTTGATGGTCAGAGGCAGCAGAGGGGAGAGGTTCTTCCTGAAGTCTATTATTATTTCTTTTGTCTTGTTTATATTGAGGCTGAGGTCATTCTCCTCTCCATAAACAAGAATGTGGTTCATCAAGCTTCTGTAACCCGACTCGTCCCCCACCTTGATGAGGACCAGGATGTTGGTGTCATCAGCATATTTAATGATGATGGTGTTGTCCTGGTTGGAGGCACAGTCGTGAGTGTACAGGGTGAAGAGTTTGGGGTTGAGACAGCAGCCCTGTGGTGAGCCTGTACTGATTGTGAGCTCAGCAGACACCCGCCCTCCCATTCTCACCACCTGCGGTCTTTCTGTCAGGAAGTCCAGAATCCAGTCAATACTCAGATCCAAATTATCCAGTTTGTTCTTCTGGATTTGAATGGTTTCAGCTTGTGGGGGCCAAGATTTGGAACACCTTAGATGATGCTTAATCTATTTGAGTTTTAATAAAGGGTAGACAAACATTTTATTAAACAAAATATTAAAAGAACAGATGCAGTGAAAGCGCTGTATGTTGATAAATTGTATCACTTTTTGTAGGCAATTTGTTTGCCTACAATTGTAGTTTGTTTTATTTCATATATGTTTTGTTTTGGTTGGTTTTTCATGGTTTATGTTGTTTCCTTTTCTTGTTTATTAAAGTGTCTACAATTAAGACAATGTATTTTTAAAATCATGATGGTAGAACAATTGGGCCTGCTTCCCAAAACCTATCTGATATTTGCTTTGTGCTGTGCCACATTTGTTGTGTACTACGTATGGATGTACAGCTCTGAGTTACCTTGGTGGCAGTTGACATCCAGGGGGTGCAACAATTTTACATCTTGTTTTTCGGCAGTCACTTTTTAAAAAGAATCAAGTTTGAATTAATGACAATGTTATCAGTTTATTTTGACTGCAACCCATTTGCCTCATTCGTGTTCTGTCTTTCTCCTCTACAGGTCAGGCCCCAACGTAGAGGCGGGCCTCCCATTATCCACCTCCTTGCCTCCCTCCAGCCCCACCTTGGAGGAGCGGAGAAGGCCGGGCACCCTGCTCATCTGGCAGGAGAGAGAGCGACTGCAGCAGCAGCAGCGAGAGAAGGCCAGGTGAACTCTCATACTGACTGACTTTTATTAATAATACAGGTGTTTTAAAATAAAACATGATATTTTAATATGTGCAGAATTACTTTGAATACCTCATGTTTGTCAAAATGGCCTGAGAGACTCGTACCTTGGAGCTTTAGTGCTACTAAAGGAGGCATATGCCATGTTACAAAAGGGTTGACGTGTGTGAATAGACTGGACACAGACATCACATTACATTAGAAATATGAATTTGACTTCGTATTTCCTCAATCAGTGGAAAACGATGTGAATATGACCTGTTAAAAGTTGCAGCAGTTTGTGTTCCTCACAGGGAAGGAACTGGTCTCTGTCTGCGGCCACTCCTCATGTTTAATTATATGTTGTCTATGTCAAAACTCTAATTTTGCAGTTTGCTGAAGCCATCCACCAAAACAGGAAGTCACGTGGCCACTGGACCACAGACAGGAAGTAGCTCAGCGTAAGTAAGGCCTGTAGAACAGATAAAACCCACAGCACCACAAGAGCAGAGAGACACGTCTGACACTGACTAAGTTATGTTCACATCATTCATTCTTACACTTCCTGAATCTGTGCTGAAGTGGAATGGAGGGAAGCTTGAGGGTGTGGAAAGTGTTGGTTTTCTTTGGTCTGTAAACTTGGTGTGTGTCTCCCCCTAGTGGCACATCTCCAGAGAACAGCAACTCCCTTTCAGGCCTGCGGCAGAGATGTGCAGTGAGTTGTGTTGTGTTTCATACCGGTGAACAACTAGTGCATGTTGACACTGTTGTAAATCTGAATTGTTTCTTTCTACTTAGAGCGCTGACCAGATGAGCACAGTGTCTCCTTCAACACATATACCACGCTGCAGCAGTAGAACAGGTACAGCACACATGAATATCTTTTTATGAAGAAGCATTTTGTATTACATACATCATTTCTTTGTGATGTATGAGCACATATTATAATATATCCACAGAAAATATTTGTTTCACATCGGCAGGCTAGTGAGAGATAAAGTCTTACGCGGGAACAAAAATCATCATTTCAGTTTAAATCGGTACCAAAGCAGATTAAACTGCATGAAACCACAGTAACAATTAAAGCTGCAGTGTGTTCCAAATAAACTAGGCAAGGTGAACCACACACCTGGCCTATTAGTGTGTGAAGCAGTCAAACTTAAAAACTTGTTTTATCAGTCAACTAAGTGGTGAAACTAATGGATCTACTGGTTTCAACTGACTGTACATACTGAAGACAATCAGAACATAGCTTGTTGGTTTTCTTTGGCAGATTTAGGGATTAGTCTCTAGTCAAATCAAGCTCTGTAAATCAAATTATTCTCATTTTTTGTTGAGTGTGAAAGTTCATTCTTGACCTTGGAATAGTAGCATGACAAAAACATCTTTGCTCAAGGTCTACTTATTAGCTTTTCTGGAGCTATTGATGCACTTCCCCTGTAAATGCTCATTTTGCTGAAGATCACTATGAAAAGCTCTGGAAAGTGGACCTTGAGTTTTTTTGGTATCAAAACTAAAAATGCTGAGGTATTGAATCCTGTCCATCCTAAACATTAGAACATTTTCTTCCATTTGAAAGAATAAATCAAATCAAATCAAATTTTGAACATTAGTTTCTTTGCCGTGATCATAGCCATTACAAAAACCAGCTCAAGGACTACCAAACTGTAATTTGAACTCCGGCTTCATTTTGTCAGTTATCCCGTCATGTTCTGTCACATAAATCCAATACAAGTGTATAGTTTGGGAGTGTTTCTGCCCTTTCACATGTTAACAATGACCTGAATGTCTGTGTCAGATGTGCCATCTTCCCCAAAGACGTCCCCTCCTCCTGGCCAGGCCCAGAAACCCAACAGCTTCCTGTTCCGCACTTCTTCTCGCAGCAATGTCAGACCCACAGGTACAAACAGCACAGCGTACACTTTACACCTTCAGTCACTGCTTCAGTAATGTTTTACCACTGTTTGTCTGTCAGGGCCAGTCTTTACTCTGGGCGAGTCTGGTAGAAGTGAGTCTCGCACGACGCTGCGTTCTCCGAAGCAGGAGAGACCAGAAATCACACAGCTACGCAAGGTAACGCATCACTAACCTTTAAAAAAAGAATATGGACCGTATGAGTCACTGGATAATATTCGATGAAATAATGTATCACTGCAATACTGGTTATCTGAGGACAGACTTTAAAGGATAAGATCAGTCCTTTTCTATGTTGAGTATTTTCAGTGCTCCCCAGACACTAACACCAGCTATGAATCTCCTCTAATCATGGTAATATCTCAGCTAGCTCATTCAGTTGTGCCAAAGATGTCAGCTGTTGTTCAAAAATCATTAAAAACACATCAGTGAAACACACAACTGTACTAGTTTGTATATTTCCTCATTACGAAACAGAATATCCAGAGACCCTTGACCATTGCCTATTTCAGATGCTGTAAAACGTTATGGCTGTTCTGAGCCTTTGGGGCAATACTTTTTAAAAATTATTAGGATCTGGTGTTTTTTAGTGAGGAAATATGTCAGCTAGTGCAGCGGTGTGTTTCACTGGGGTGCTTTTAAAAATAATTCTGCCTGCCTGGACACTAAACCTCTTCTCGCTTCATCTGTCCCTCTCTGACCTCTTTTCCCTCCCTAATCTGCGTCCCCCTCTATGGAGGTGACCAAACACTTGGATTACTATAGGCCAGTTATTTACAGCATAACTGAAAGCCAGACATGAATAGCATCAGAGCAGCTGTCAGTCATCAGGTCCTGATGCGCTGCAAGGACAGTGGACGGACAAACGGCCTTCACCAGGCCGACCGACAGCAGAAGTGTGCTGGACAATAGTTTTCATGTAGGCCCTATGCATGTAATCATAACAGACACTAATAAAAACTGAAAATAAGAAAATAGACGTGAAGCAAAAAAGGGCAATATGTGGCTCACACCACGCGTGTGTCGAGAGCCGTGTCCTATCTTTTGCATGAAAAATGCATCTAAAAACATGCTCCGTCTGAATTGGCCTTAGCTCTGTGTATGTGACTCGACCTGTTTGAATGTTACCAGCAGCACTGTCCTTATCCTTTAACCTTCAGTGCTTCTGATGAAATTCCATTAGAATACCTGAATATATTCATTATTACTGGATAAACACTTGGTTTCTCTTTAGATCTCATCTTACCCTCCCCACACACTGTCAGTGCTCATTAGACATGTAGCCTATTCTAGAAGGCCTGTGCCTGATAAATCTAATGGAAAAGTACCTTTCAATAAATGTAATAGTGGTTTATAGTGTGTGCACATTTTTCTTTGCACATCCTCAGATGAAGATACATTTTCAGTTCCTTACTTCAAAACTGAAAGCCCTCCACACTGCAATAGAAACACGGACTGTATCATGTTCATCTTCAGTTTATTGAAGGTGCTTACACTTGAATTTGTGATGTTTCCACACATGAAAAACATTGTTACAGTAATTATCCTGGGTTTTAATAGTTTACTGTATGTGTCTTTGTCTCCCTCCTCAGACTCTGGAGTCTCGGCTTAAGACCACTCTGCCTGAGGATCTGGGCGAGGCCTTAACCAACGGCACCATCCTCTGTCAGCTGGTCAATCAGATACGACCACGCGCCGTGTCAATAATCCACATTCCCTCCCCAGCAGTGGTGAGTCTGGAAAAAAACTGGTCAGTCAGCTAGCTGCCTTTGCTGAGGATGATCAAGACGCCAAACATGTTCTTGTCACTTGGTTTATTTGACTTGAGTCTGGTATGTTACTAAAACAACAAGCTGAGTTTTTAAGGCTGTTAAGCAGACTATATAATACATTCTTCCTATTACAAATGAAAAGTTGAAATTATAAGCACTAGAACACAGTCGCACTGCAGTTTGCTTCCTTTCTACATGGATGGACTCAGTTATGAACTGAGCTGGCTTCTTTATTTCATTCAGTTCAGTCTGACTGAACTTGGACACATGAACTCGACTGATTCAGGAAATGTGTTTGTTCATGTTCTTGTTTTATAACTTCACAGCAGCAAAGAAGAAGAGATGCCATTTGGTTGCACTACATACAAGGACAGTGACAGAAGTTAATGGCAAAACAGTCTGATAAATCACTGTTTAATCTACAATCTTGTGGCTGTGTGTTAGCCTGCTAGTCTTGCTAGCTCCAGTAGTTTGTTTATAATCCTACCCACCTGCTTTAGGCCACTCCATATGAGTAAATGTCAGCAGGCAGAGTTCAGTCAAACTGCACCTTTACTTATGGTGACTAATGTTAGCACACGGCTGTATCACTGACTCAGTACAAGTCCTTCCATGGAGGAAACCCTGAGTTTGCATTAACCTCCAATGAACTGGAGCAGAACAGAAAAATAAGTGGTGAAATTTAAAGGCCTGATACTCAGCATGTCTGAAAATGTACAGGCTTCTGATCCCAGCTAATTAAAATAGTTTTCCAAGCTATTTTCATTTTAACATGATGTTGCTAAATGTGGTGGTCTGACATTTTGTTCTTTCAGCCAAAACTGAGCTCAGCAAAGAGTCGACTCAACGTGGAAAACTTCATTACTGCCTGTCGCAAGTTGGGAGTGCCTGAGGTAAATTCATGTATTCTCACTTTCCTGCCCTTCCGCTACATCTCATGGATATTTTGCATTCTTTGATGGATTAAATTTTTTTTAAAGCATTGCAAAAACACCGTGTATATAAAAGTAGTTGAGAAGAACTGTCATTGTGCTTTGAGCTCAGTTGTGTTGCTACATTATTTCTGTCAGGGTTGGACTGATCATGGTTGGGGGCTGTTTTTTAGTGACGGGATCAGATTTTCAGACCCATGTTATTAGTCCAACCCTAACTCTGCTTTGTGTATTTCTACGCTTCTCTTCTAGTTTTAACAATGTAACTACTTGTATTTTCCTCCTGTGTGTGTCCTGTCCAGACGGATGTGTGTGTGTGCTCTGATGTGCTTCTGTGTAAGCTGCCCGCTGTGCTGCGCTGTGTGACGGCCCTGCTGGCCGTGGAGGGGGGGGAGACGGCCGAGGACCAGTCCCCCGCCCGCTCCTTACCTTCGCCTTCATCGTCCTCCTCCTCCTCGCTGCTGTCCACAGATTTCCTGCTCTTCTACTGTGCAGTTATGGCCCTGCTCTACGTCCTCTACTGCTACGTGTTCACCTAAAGGACACACACACACACACACACACACACACACACACAAAAAACATATAGTGCTCATTATATTCACATGCTGAACTGCTTCACACACACACGCACTGAAACACACAAATTCCTGAGGTAGACAGTAGAAGGTCAACACTCACAGCTGCTTCCACAGCTGCCGTCTCAGACAATACTCTGTACTGTGTGTTTTTTCAGTATGCACACCCACTCCACACCCTCTGTGACTGTGGAACAAGTGTCATAAGACCAGAGAGTCTGTTGACACGCTAGAGCCATGCAGAGCCTGTAGTCAGGCACCTTTAAGAAGCAAACAGCCTACACTACATGCAGCTGTTACCTTAGAGGAATAGAAAGCACTAACCTGATGGACAGATATATGAGAGCAGGTAAACAGTGAAATGCTTTAGCTTAGTTTAGCATTCCCTTTGTAATGCATAGCATGTTTGGAGGAGGCTCTCCAGAAACAGTGGTCAGAGGTGGAAATATGAATGTGCTGAGCAAAGGAGTCGCACCCTGTCGAATCAGTTAACTGGTCGTAATATACTTGCTTTTCACCGACGTGCCCTTGCAGACTAGCAGCGAAGCACAGCCTCTAGGGGACAGATTAGGGCCAAGTCATTCCCAGCTGATGCTGTAATGTCTTTTTTTTTTTTTTGTTTTTTTGAGAACCGATTTTGCCCTGAATTAACATACCTAAACAAGGAGACACTGGAGGCAGTTAGTGTTATCGTTCATGTTAAGATCACGGTACCGTACACAAAGCAGCTCTAGCTCTTTTGTCAAACTGTCTTTACACCGTTTGTTGTTCTGGTTTGTTCAGTCCCCTGCTGACCTTCATATACTGACATGCACACCCACAACCAATACAGGATACATGGTGTAATCATCAAGCACATGCAAGTTGAATTGATGCAGCAAGTTGTATAAACACAACCTCTGACATTTCACCATAAACTGATATGGCTAACGTTACCAATAGCTGCCTTTTCACATATCTGTGATGTGCAGAGCAGCATTAGCATTTATTTGGAGTTGTTTGTATCCATCTAAATGTAAATCTAATGTTCACTCTTTTAGCTCTGTTTTTGGTCTCCAGCTCCTGAGGAAAATATCTGGCTCTTTAGCTGCTAAAAGCTCTGTGTTCATCCACTAGTAGTTGTCTGCCCGTCTGTTGCTTGGAGCTGGAATTAGCTGCCTACTGCCACTTGAAACAAGGTTACTGAAAGACTGAACCGAAACAGTAAAGTGGTGGCTCTGCAAAACCAAAACAGTAAGCTGAAAGACGCTAACCATAACGAGTGGCACTTTTCACATTCCACACTGGCATTTGATCCATTGATTTATATAAAAACATATCAATGCTGCTTTAAGGCTTAATTCTGTGTAGTATGTATGTATCAGAGTTTCATACATTTACACTGGAAAAATAATAAATACTTACAAGCAGTCAGACGATCAGGTTGTAACTGAATGCCTGCAGTTGTCAAACCTGTCTGGAAGAGAGAAGATGAACAAATAAATGATTGCACAGACTGACACACACACCTTCCCTGACAGTAGCACATAGCGTATGCCTTTCAGTGTGTGGTATAGAATTGGAAATAGGTGATAAATGCGGGTCAGAGGGCTAAAATAAAAATCCGCTGCCAGACTAGTTCTCCTTAAACTGGACAGCTGGAAGGATTTTACAGAACAGAATGGGAGCACTGCTCACTAAGTGTTATTTCTGCTTCTAGTGCAGCTTGCTTTCTGAATCTGACTAGAACTCCAGTGCATGTTTGTAGGCAGAAGACAGAAAGAAGCTACTGAGAGAATCTGAGACGAAACTGTGAATGTGATTTTTAGCCATGAGACAGATTCGAGTCAGTTAAATATGGAACCTGGATGTTTAGTGATGGCTTTTTTTTAGTCACATAGCAATGTGACAGTGGGATAAATGATATAGTGCCTGTTGCTGAACACTGACCAAGACCGCCTGCAGACACTGCTAGTGGTTTTTTTTTTTTTTTGTTCCGTTTTGTTTTTGTCTGACTGTGAGCAGCAGGGGGCGATGTTGCCACATCAATCCCCTTCAAGGCTTCGTGTGTCCAAAGTGACGGTACAAACCTCTCCAGGAGGTTGTGTGTAAACTAATGTTGTCGTCGTCACTGGTCCAGTTGACCAGCTAATGTTTGTATAAATGTAAACAGGTTATTAAATTATTGGTTTTATTTATTTTGTTCTGTTTTTGTTTACTCTTGTTTCTTTGGTGAAACAGCAGAGGGTTTATTAGTTTAAGCCTATAAGCCACTCATGATAAAGCCAAGTAAAGCTTTGTGAAATTTATGTGTGCTTCAAATCACACAAAAGGCTAAGCCAGAAGTAATCGATAGTTATTTAGAATTAAAATAACATTGTTTAAAAGTTTGCCCCTTCTTTAGATGGGTAAATAATTGATTCCCTAGAGGCTACACGATTAACAGAGCCTCACATGGTCTCTGCTGTTTCTACCACACGCTGTCTGGCTCACTGCGCATAGGTCAATGTCTGCAGCTAAACATGCATTGGAACCTGATTATGATGCTTATTTGACTGTGGGGCTAATGTCAATAGTCAGCGCTGTTCTATACATAATTCTGAGGCCTCCAAACTAACATTTAAAATTATAATGGGACAAAAACTTTGTACTAAAACATGAAGTAACTAAGGGGCTCATCTACATGAATTCATAGGGAAATTTAAATGAATAAATGATCTAAAGAAACATAATATTAGAGGTGAACAGTACTGATATTGTCCCCATGTCACAACTCTATCTGGGTCCTACCCTACTAAAATATTTGAGCAGGACTGATTTTCTTAATGTGCAGCACCAAAGTCATTAATGAATTTACCTACAACATATAGGTTAACCAAGAAGAAGTTACTATAAGCTTATTACAGTTTGATTTCAATCTAATTTTGAAGAAAGTTTGAGTTAAAGTTGATTTCACACTCTAGTTCCCCCTTTTAAAAGTCAGCTGTATTTCAGGATGGCTATTTCACGCTTTTATTTCATGTCACCTACAGTAAGATCATAATGATACTGCTTGTCACGTTATATTACAGTGGTGACATCTCAGCAAGGTCTTCTGCCAAGCCCAGAGCCCTTTGCTATGGATAGTAGGTAGGGACAGCGGGAATCCTGTTCATCCATTTATGAGTATCACTGATTAGAAAACGAGACGTGACTAGTTTGGATTCACAGGCCCACCCTGCATTGACATGGTGCTGACTCAACGGACTGGACTACACACACTACACATTGCGTGAATAATGAAATAACATTTCCTCGTAGTGAGTTTGAATAATTCTCATTGTTTTACAATTTTTTCCAAATTACCTGTTCATTTATACTTTATACATTTTATTTGTATGAAGATTTATTTAGTAATGTCTTTATTTATATAACACTATTAAACAATATCTGGGGCCCAAAATAAAAAGCCATTCTTCAGTAAAGCTCTCTAACTCGGTTTAAAGTGCTTACTCACCTCAGTGTACAACTCACTGGCTGTATTTGGCCACCAGGCTGTTTCATGTCCCCATCTCTCTGCTGTGGTCCAAACCTCCTCTCCAGTCGCTGTTGTTTGTTAGTCCGCTGTTAAGATCAAATTTATGTGTCAATTCAAATGTATATTTTATAAATGAAACTGGATAAGCAATTCTTTCGCTGGCTTAGAACAAGCTATATTCTTAAATATGTTAGTGGAACAGATGCTGTTGTATTTTATATTTATGATACTCTTGTATTATATAAATCTATAAGTAATGTTTTTTTTTCCTTCCCATTGTAAAGAAATAATTAAAAATGAAACTGACTCTGTGCTGGTTGTCTGCTTGCTTGCTGCCATGCTTTTGTTGCATCAGCCAAGCACTTTGCATCTGCAGCTGCCCGAACATTGTTTGACAAATAAATCTCAACTCATGATCCACTTACTAACTTCTTAAGTGTCATCACGTAGTCTTAAGTATGAAACTATTTGTCAAACCACTATTTAAGTCTTATTGCATCACTAGGTCCAGAAAAGCTAAGCTTGCTAAAGTGAAGCTATATTTTAATTTCAAATTAACGTTGATTAAAAGGATGAGCCTAGTGATGTTCTGTACAATACAATGAATCTCATTTGCCGAGTCAAACTAACGCTGAGTATACCTGTGCCACTGAGAAGTGGCACCTTTATGTAGCTTGTCTAAGTACATTTTCAAGCATGGCGTCTTGCTTCATTCTGGATATCCTATATAACCACTGAAGCATTAAACCAGACTCGAGTGGGAAAACACTAAAATGCTCAAAGAAATCTAAACTGTACTGTTTTATCTTATAGATGCATACTGTTGTCCCCAAGGGCGTAGTTTTGCATATGAACAGTTCCTACTAATGTTTAGACCAAAGCTACGCCCTTGATTGTCCCACAGTCACCAACACAAATCTGAGAAATACTCGCAGCTGAGAAGCCTTTGTTAAACACTCATTTACAAATATCTGTTTCATTAGTTTAACAAAAGTCCATTTTGATAACAAATGAGCACTTGTACTTGCACATTAAAAAAAAAAAAGTGAGTCCCCGGGGGCAGAAATCAGTTTTTAACTCAGCACCTAGACAAACGTTTTTGTGTTTTTAGTATAGTTGGTGACACTACACGCAGCAGCAGCGAGCCATTTAACTGAAACAGTTTAGGACAAGCTACACAAAGATGTGGTTCGTGCTTCATCAGGAGTGTTTTGACAACAGTGCATTTGGTTTACTATGAGAAGAGACTACAGGGACAGAGGCTAAGTGGTTGGCATGGCAAATCCATTTCTAAATGGGGCTAGGTTCAACCTGACAGCCAAGAAAAGATGAAAAGTATTATGAGATGGACTAACACACTGTTGGTTTTTGACTATCTGGCCCCTGGTTTGCTGACATTGTGTAAAATGTACAAAATACAAAACTTTAAATACAAAAGTAAATGACTTTCAGCAATGATCGGTGCAGTTGGAGAGGAAGACAGAACATTTGGTCCTGATTTTGACTTAAAGTCAGTTCAATAACACAATGTGTGAACAGGTGTGCAGATTACCTGGCGTGATTCCACTGTACCCCGTGCTTTACCCTCCTCGAGAGCTGCTGTGTGCTCTCCAAACAGCAGGTTCATGAATCAAGCTGGCCTGTGTTGGAGCAGAGGAGTGATGTTAAACCAAGGTCAAAGAACTCACCAGCAGTTGACGCAATAATTTGTGCTGTCGCCTTTTTGATTTTACCTCTGCATCACTTCAGCCTGCCTGCCACCCCGACACATCACTGGAATGGCAGCTCATCACAGAGCGTCAGGCTGTGGCTACAGCAACAATCAGACTTTCGGGGTAAACCAGTTAAATAATTGCTACAGAGGCAGCAGCACTGATAACGGAGATTTAATCTTTTATTTGAGACATACTGGGGAATCTAAGAGTTCCTCTAGAGGTTTCAGGGGTCACTAAGGGCGATCCAGGGGCCCATCTGACTGTGTGAAATGAAGAAACTTGAAAAATCCTGCAGCAGACATCAGTCACACAGGAGCAACTACAAATCCATTCACATTCACTGTAAAAGCTGAGATTTGGTACAACAACTATAAGATTAGTTACGCTGTGTTTAGAGAACAGGGCCCAGGGACAACTGAGGTATTACCTCATTTACTGAGCCGTGTTCACACTGGCCACTCTAGCCTATAGTTATTTAAACAACTAACACACATCCACTGAATTCCTGAATGCTAGGGTTTGAATGAACCACTAAGTCGAACCAGAAATGGCATTTTTCCATTAAGCAGTTCCATTTTACAACATAACTGAGTATGTGGTTGTTTTTATTTAGATCTGCCTGGTTGCTTGTTCCAAAGGAAAGTGGAAGCAAGTCTCATTTAATGGCTTTTCATTTCAGGCCTGGAGGCAGTAAACACTAACATCTGACAGTGGGGGGATGTTTGATATCCACTTTACATGAGATTGAAATTACATGCCTTGCTACAGGATGCCATTGAGCCCGTTTTATAAACGTGTTAGCTCCTTCACCACCCACTTGTCTAGTATAGTCACATTTCACTTCACAGACAGTCTGGAGATTACTTCAGGTCTGTCAATGTCTAAACTCTAAGAAACCAGTTTGCTCCCTGGATGAGCACATCCAGTGGTTACGGCTGGACTTTCTTCAGCCATAAACAGACTGCTATTATCAGAGGCAGCATTTAATATTTTAAAAAATGACCATGCAAACAAAAGAATGTACTGTATATTACCAGATCCGCTCACTCCTCTCTTCTTCCCATCGCAGGATTCCTTGTGTTGCCCCCAGCTCATCATGGAGGACGAGGGGCTAAGTCGGCTAGCCCAGACTGTCCAGGTGTTGGTCGACCTGGTTGATGGCTCCCAGCAGACCACATCTGGGGCTGCTGGCTCAGCACAATCATAGCACTGCATAGTAGAAAATGCTAAGATTTAACAGCATTACACCAAATAGATCCATCTCTGGGCCAGTGTGTGTTTGCAACATGCTTCATATGTGCATTTTCCATCGACTTTACAGTTTGGCATAACATGCCCCTCCTCCAAGCATCAAATTCATGGTTGAAATAAATCTGTAAATGACCTCAATCTTGATGTGTTTTTTTTTTTTGTGATTTAAAGTAAAAACTAACTTATGGAAGGTAGTGAAATATCCAATCATTCTCATCTTTCTTTTTGAGAGCAAGACAAAACGATCGTATGTCGAAAATGTATTCATATAGCACTTTACAACATCTAGTTGACCAAAGTGCTTTCCACGATAGAAAGAGATTAAAAACCATTACCTGCTACAATAAGTATCAGAGCCCAAGAACCTAAAAAAAGCCCTAGAAAATAAAAAGCTTAAAAGGAAATAAAACAATCAAACCCATAACAGCTCTGATGTTGGCATAAACAAAATAAAGAGAATAAGATTTTTAAAAAAAACACACAGTAATAAATACCAAGCTTCATTTAGCAAAGGCCTTGGACAAATCTAATATTTGCAGGCAGGTTATTCCAAAGCATTGGTGCAGAAAAAGCCCTGCCGCCCCACCACTTGTCATAGGACCTTGGAACCTCCAGCAGCTGTCCAGACCAATATAATATACACAGACAATCTCATGTCTGAGACTTAGTAGAGAGCTGGAGACAAGATGTGGTTAGCTAGCTTAGCTTAAGGACTGGAGGCACAGGTACACATCTCATTGTTTCATCTCAGTGTCGCTATAGCACAGGTATCCAGATACAGCTGAGATTATGGTCTGTTCAGGCATGCCGGTACCACACTTGGGGGCCCTGCACTGTGACGGACCATTCTTTCTTTCTTTGGGACAAATACACATTAACATCAAAGATGTAAATGTGTCAGATTTAGGCAAAAGGCTCATTTTCATCTGGAGGCCCCTGGGCAGGATGTCATTATGCAATAAGCAGAGAAACTAGATCTAAACTACTACTAAATACAAATACACAATTTACAATGCATTAGTAAATAGGTTGATGTCCAAAATAATTTAGACAACAGTCGCAAAAACATTAAACATCTGTGTTCACTAAAGAAAACGTGTGAAAGCAGAAACACAAGTTTACTCTATCCTCAAAAAACAGTAAAGAACCAAGGCAGCCATCTGCAGCGTCAACTCTCTGATGGCTCTAACCATCGGGGGCAACTTGGGGGTTCAGTGTCTTGCCCAAGGACACTTTGACATGTGGACTGCAGGCACTGAGATTCGAACCACCAACCCTCCAGTTGGGAAACGACTGCTCTACCCACTGAACCACAGCACTTGGATCTCTTGAGTAAAAGTAGCAATACAACAGTGTAAAAATACTCTCCTGCATTCAAAATGTGACTTAAGTACAAAAGTATTAGCATGAAAACAAACTTGAAGTGCTAAAAGTAAAAGTACTCATTATGCAGAACGGCACATTTAACATGAATGTATATGAAACTGAATTATAATTCCTGATGCATTACTGTGTACATCACATTTAATGTTGCAGCTGGTAAAGGGGGAGCTAGCTTTAATGAATTACTGCTGGGTAGCAAGTCCTATGATTTTACTGTTATGTGTGTAATTGTTTGTTTCTGAATAGTAGCTAAACTTATAAAAATAAATGTACTGGAGTAAAAAGTACAACATTTGCCTCTAAAATGTAGAAGTCTGTATATGAAGTAGCACAAAATGAAAATACTTAGGTACAGATACCTCAAAACGGCCCTGCGATGGACCGGCGACCTGACCAGGGTGTACCTCACCTTTTGCCCGATGCCAGCTGGGGATTGGGATTGGCTCCAGCCCCCCCACCGACCGCGTTCAGGACTAAGCAGTATAGAAAATGAGATGAGATGAGATACATCAAAATTGTACTTAAGTAAAGCTACTTGGTTACTTTCCACCACTGCACACTGGTTTCATCCAACCAATTACAGATGTACTGAGACTGAAGTAAGACAACTTCTGACCACCAAGCATGAAAAAAATAACAAGGCCACAACCTAAAACTAAAAATGAAGGTGGGAGAGACTAAGCAACAGTCCAACCTAAAAACCAAGTCTGAGAACTGGCTTAGTTGCTCGTCAGCCTGATGAGCAAACAGACAACAGCTGTGCCTGATTGACAGGGGTCAAGCTAAAGGGATTGAGAGTGGCCCAGGACAGGAAATGGCTTCAAAACAGGAAGTAGTCAGAAATCACAACAGTACGTGTGGTTGGTATGTGTGACAATTCTGAGGACAAGAGGTGCAACTTCGAGGCAAACTGACTAAAAAAAAAAAAGAATTGCAGAAATTCATGTACAGTTTTGAGCTTTTAGAATCCATTTTATCTTCATTCTAATGTGTAACAACAGGTCTACACTATGTCCTTTTCTGAAAGCAGACCAGACTCGAATACATTTGTAAATAAATAAAATAAACGTAATATCAGTAACAATGGAAAACTGAGGGAGAATAAAAAACTTCAAGAAGTATTCCAGATATTGCTGTCAGTGGGCATGGGTTGAGAGGAATGTAAAACAGAGTCAGAGCTGACTTGTTGACTGTCGTTTCTATGCTTCTTAGTCATTGTATCCTAAGACTTTCAGGTTAAATAAATATTTAAGCTTCATTGGTTGATAATGTGAAAAATGATGTTGACATGAAATTAGACTTGTGGTGAAAGTCACTGAGGGACATTCAAACCAGGATCCTTTATAGGAACAATTCAACTGTTTTAGTAGCATCAGTCACAGAGTGGCTGCAGACTGCACACACAGAGAGTGGCAAAGCTAAACTTGGGGGGTCAATAAAACGGGGACTGTTAACATCATGGAAAGCAGCGTTGCTGGGCCCCAAACTATAACTAATCCCTCAACTAGGGAGAAGATTGCACCATGAAAGGACACAAATCCCACTGCCTTTGCAACACATGGGCATGTCATCCTCTTCCTGCTGTGGTGAGATGCCAATACCATCAATCAACTGACAAGCAAAATAAATATTATCACAGTTTTGATAAACTATGCTTCAGCCCTGTTGCATAGTGCAGTGTCATTCTGTACACAGCAGCGTGTGCTAATATCTTAATGGGTGCCTATTCTGATTTATCGGTTCTTTATTTACACAATTTAATCAGCCGATACAAACTGTAGAATATATACAGTGGTGATATGTGGCGACTCCACTCCGCAAGTTTTCCAAGATGCTGAGCAGCCAACCTGCTAGGTACCTTGAAAACCCATGTACAACCCAGATAGCAAGCACATGTGGGCTGAATCCGGCTGCGATGCTGCACATCTGGCTAACTGCTGAATTTGGCAAAACATTATGGGCCACACCCGAGCCGGCCATGGTAAATGATCCCGGCTGACATGCCACACATGTAATCTGGGCCAGTTTTGGCTGAGTACAGTTGGGCTGGAAGTCGGTCTGTATTTTTCCTGACTAACTGGAATACGCCCCTTTCATCTTGTGACCTGATGAACTGGTGGCATTTTAAAGGAAAACATGGTCACATCATTTAGGTTTTATTACTTTACTGCTCCTTGTTTGAAGTTAATTGAAAAATAAAACCTACTCACGTTTTAACCCACAAATTCACTTTAAGAGCGTAAAACCTTTGCACCTTCCCACTGAGGAGAAAGTAAGTCTACAGGTGAATACTTGGGTGGAGGTGGCAATGAAATGCTATATGAACATAGAGTGTGTGCATTTAACTGCTACTTGGAAATATTTTGAAACAGAGATGTGTAACAGGATAAAGCTGCTATTCTATCACAGGGAACTCTGAGTATTCTCCCTGCAGTGGCTGCTTAAAGAGCCCATGACATGCTTTTCCTTGTTTTTTGATTTATCTGCAATGTTAGAATGGTGAATTATCATCTTAGACATGACTTCATGCTTAAAAAATGAGGTGAATATACTGTATGTTCTAGTACTTCTATGCAGAAGCAACTCAGTTTACACAAACTCTCACTCGTGACACTTTTTCTAACAAAATTAGATATTACATGATAATTTAAGGTTTTCCTTGAATGGTCCAAATCCCCAGCCAGTTGCGTGTTCATGTGAGCTTGCCTGACATCCACCTGTGCCATTTTAAAAGTGGAATTTTTCAAATGCACCAGATTTTGAGGATATATTTTCCCTCCTGCTGCTGCACTGTGACCAGAGGATGTGGAGAAAAATCCAGGGCCTGAGGTTATTGCATGTCTGGGAATGTTCCTGTACAGGGACCCATTGTTTTACCTGACCGGGTCTAACCTACAAGCAGCCGGCTAGTGAAGCCCCTACGGCAGTGAATGATCAGATCATTAACTCTGGATTCCCCCGGAGCACAGTACCTGTTTGCTTTGACTGCTTGAGGCCAGTGTGTCTGCTGCATGTGATGTGTTGCTGGTTAACGATCCATGTTATTGTCGGCGCTACGCTACCTGCTGTACGTGGTTGCCTGTAATGCCAGGGGTTTGTGGGGGAAGAAGTTGGATTTACCCACCTTGGAGCTACTTCAGTGGGTCTTGAGGATAAGTAAAAAAAAAAAAAAAAAAACACACTTCATGTCTGTTAATGCCTTGTTTCTGTAACATTAGAGATAATTGTTGTAAGGCTGGAGAAGTTACTATGTCTGCATTATGCCAGTTAAAATATGGGGTTTCTTACCTACCCACTTTGTTTAGAGTGTTACACATCTCTTTTGATCGGTACATATACTGTTGTTTACCTATCTATGAAGGAGGAATTCAAATTATTGTAATTTGTGGTTCGTCATTTCATATTCTGGCTCAAATACGTCAGGTAGGATTTGAGGTATTGTCATTGTCGAAAACGTAGTTTATTTGTCACTGTTCATTCTGTTCATGCATTGTTGTAGCTTCCTGACCAGCAACAGGAGCTGTGCACAGTCACAAACTATCCTCTCATTATTAGGACGACGCTCTGGCTTTATCGTTCCAAAATAATTACAAACTATTTAAAGTTCTGATGGGTGCAAAGATAATCTAGAGGTACCCAAGATTAAACATTAAATGGCTGGGAAACGAGCAAAATGAGCAGCTATGGGCACTTTAAGCAATTGCCTTCACTCTCTGTACATACTGTAATTAATCACACACTCATCTCCCGCTCGCTCTGATTGAGCCCAGACAAGTTCAACTTTAATGAAATTCACACCAAACAAACAACTGGAGGACCAGAATGTGCTGTGGCAGACAGGCGTTCCAGCAAGTTAACTTATGAACATAACCCTCAACAGATCACTGTCATTTCACAGCAGAAACACTGTGGCAGATTTTTTTACTCAGCAGAAATTGGTGTAGTTTGTGTGGAGGCTGAAGCAGTCAGACAAGTGACACAGCTCCTGGGGTTCTGTTGTTTTAATAGCCTGTCTGGAGCTATTAGAGGATGGACTGAGTAGTCTATAGGCAGAGCCTTGTACAGCGCAGTGTGACAATCTCCATTAAATTATTCTGCAATTTAACATTCAATAAATGACTTGGGAATCCTTTACACCACTAATTCGATGCATAAAACACACAAGTCAAGTAAGGAAACATCCAATGGTGTCATGCGTCTTAACCCTCTGTGCCAAACTTGTATATAGAACATTATACAACCCCAATCAGAAAATGTTGGGACTGCATGTAAAATCCTAATTAAAACTGAAAATAGTGAGGTGCAAATCATCCGTGTCCTGTATTACATGGAAAACAATAGAGCAGCACATTATTTGATGAGATACCTCATCAACTTTATTCTTTGTTTAAAAGAAACACTTCAATCCTGATGCTGCAACACATTCCAATAAAAGTTGGGACAGTAAAGCATTTACCATGGTGTGATTCATTTAAGATGTTTAGGGAGTGAGGACACCAAGTGATTAAATGCGTCAGGTGTAGTTTTGTCATATTCTTCCTGCAAACAAGTCTTAAGGTGCAAACGTCCTGGGTCCTTGTTGACACATTTTGCATTTTCTGATTTGGGGGAAAGACTAAGGAAAACAGCCTGACACTGATGGTTGCATTTCAGGACTAGTGATGAGATAAAACAATGAAATGATGAGTCCATTAGAAACAGGTGATGTCAACAGGTGACTGCATCGTGATTTGGTACAAAAGTGGCTTCCAGGAGAGGCCGAGTGCTTTAGGAGCAAAGATGGGCCGAGGACCACCAGTTTGCCAACATATGTGTGAGAAAATGATTGAAATGTTTAAAAATAATGTTCCTCAAAGAAAGATGGGAAGGGATTTGGATATGTCACCCTCTATGGTGCAGAATATCATTGAATGATTCAAGGGAATCCGGAGGGGTTTAGGCTAAGCTGGATGATCGTGCTCTCTGATCCCTCAGACGGCACCGCATCAATGACCGTCACTCTTCTATAAACAATATAACTACACTGAAATGAGTGTTTATTTTCAACAAAGAATAAAATGGATGAGGTATCACATCAAATAATGTGATGCTGTTGCCAGCAGAGCTGTAAAAACGGGTCCCAGAGAGAACTAGCCCAGGAAACACAGGCCATAACAGCAGTGCTGGCCTCTGATGATCTGGCTCCAGAAAAGACCTTACAAGAGATGCTGCAGGAGACCATCAAATAAATTGTCTCTTTGTAGTTAGAAGCCCCAGAAGAACAGCAAGAATGTTTACAAGAAATATTGGAATGGCCACTATTCAAGGAAGGAGAATACGAGGAGATGACAGACAAGCCAAGACAGGATGAGAATGAGTTGCATGAGACAGGAGGAACTGCACCTGTGATGGAGAATGTCTCAGTGAAGGAAGAGGTCATGGTGTTGATGGAAAGCCT